ATATTCTTCAACGATTTTAACTAAAACATTGTTAAAAAAAAAAAAAAGTTTGTTTTTTGTCCTTTATTCTTACCCTAAAATATGTCTCAAGCATAAACAGAAGGGATAAAATAGAAATGTGGAAAGTTATTGAAGAAATTCTGTAAAATATTTATTAGAAACTAAAAAATAGTAAATACATATTTCAGAAAGGTGAGCACCACTCAACTCGTTAATGATATACTCTCGATAAAAACAAAAAAAAAAAAAAAATGAAAGAAAATACAAAAAAAAATCTCACACTCCAAATCCAAAAGTAGTGTAGAAGCCAGTTTGGCACATAATTCTCCCTTCTCCCTAGCCTCCTCCAATATCAATCTACCATCTCTATCCTGCACTCTACACATGAAACGAAATTCTTCAATGTCTCTGTAAAATTAAACAAACTGAAAATCTCACATCAAATGATCAACATCTCACGAACAAAAAAAACATATTTCCCTCTTGATCATGCCCATTTACGCATCATGAAACCAAAAACTGTTGCATTAACCATATTGAAGGAATAATCTGTGTGTGTACGTGGGTTAGAGGAAGAGAATATGAATGAAGAAAGGTATCATTTAACTTAACATAAGTATATTTGAGCCGAACATATATTTACCCATTCCACCTCTCATCAGCTGGATCGAAGCCTAACAACATTATATTAAAAAAATTCTTCAAATAAATACTTGAATTCATCATACCAGTAATAGCAATAGATCCATCCATTTGTCGCAAAATCAGAGCCCTGCAGTCCACTCTGAAAAACAAATAGTTGGTTCACTGAAAATTGTGTGTTACCAACCAAACTCATTGACATAGCCTATGTGTATACAGAGGCAGCATCTTTCAACGAAGTCAATGAAGTTCTCTTTTCTTACTATCCAAGACCTTTTGATAACAATGTTTACCTGTTACAATGCTACAAGGAATTATGTCATTGATTGCAAAACAACATCCACCAACAAGAAGTCTTGATACTACCAAAGAATTCAAGAATTGTAACTAAAGAATATGCTCTAATCAGAGGCTAATGGGCTGTCACAAAGTAAACACCACTGAAATTTCTAACAGTCTATAAATTATAATACTTTCCCATGTGATCTATTTTAAGACATGAGGTGCGAAAAACTTCATGGTTATTTGGATGGTGGCTGAAACAGTTGTAGAAAAATGAAGGTATGCATGCAATAAGAGACGCTAAAAGACCATCACTTGGTCTGCTGTGGACTTTATAATAAAGCAAGCCAAAAATGTTCCTAGTATTCATATGGGAGCATCGTGAAGATGACTCTTCTCATACAAGCCAATAAATTGATCGGCCACAGCCCACACAATGGCCTGCCCTGGTGGAATCCTCATGAGTCGGGGCAGCAGCCCTTTCCATAAAGTAAAAAGTCCCTCCTCTGCGTATATAGTTCTGATAGCATGGAACATGCCTTTGTACTTAAGTTCACCTGTGCCTCGGCTCTGGGCCATTAACCTAGTTTTCACAACATCAAAAGGACCAGTGCATAAAGGGCCTGCTGTGCCTGCTAGGAATCCCGATACCATTGACTGCCATGGCTGAAGGACTTTTCCATCCCCTTCATGTCTGTTCCAAAGAACAACATCAAAAGCATTCTTAGCAGTAAACATGGCAGCCTGGTTTGTACCATTCCGCATAACAGTTGGAACAGCACCTGCCCAAAGCCCTAGAAGGCCTTCTTCTCGAATAATCATTCGAGCACAGTGCACTGGACCCTTGTACTTAAGGAGATCAGGACTCAGTCCTTTCTGCTGCTGCAATCTAATTTTCACCACCTACACCAGCAATATCCGCACCAATATGTCAGTCATCCCACACTTTTTCCTATTGAACATACATAAATAGGGTGCAAGTTGAAGCTAAACAAACTGACAAAACAAATCAACTCAGGCCAAAACGCTTACACCTTATTACATAATTGACCAGGAAAAATCTGTTTAAATGACCAGCACAGTTGCAGTGTATCAAGAAAAAGCAAGAAAATAAATATTTCATTCTCTGAGTCAAACTTTTCTTCTAATTCAAACCTTTGAACTTGAATCTAACTCCCCAACATCTTTTATTAGCTACATCAGACCTTCTGTAAATTGACTCTGAAAAGTCCACATGACTTTACTTTTAGTTTTACCCCAAAAGTCTCATTCTAGTAAAAATAGTTGTCTACCACTTATAAAACCTAGATCTTCCCCTTCCCTATCAAATTTGTAACATTGGTTCGTTTCAGATATTTATTTATTTTTTATTTTTAATCCTTTGTAATGCATATTAGATTAATCCATAGATCATACCAATCAAATCCCTTCTTTTAAAATTGAAATGTGAGATTTTGGTTGCAATCCCAATAACATTGATGACTTTCCATTTAGCATTCTCCCCTACCCTAATTCAGCTGCTAAATAAACCCAAATGAAAGCAACGTTGAAAATGGTGAAGAAGCTGATGTTTTCTAAAAGCTAGAACATGCTTGAGTAACAACTCTTAAAAGGTTCTCACTATAGTTTTTTTTCTTGTAATAATTTTGTTACCGTAAATTAAAAAATGTAAGAATAAATGCTCATATTAAAGATCTCATAAAAAAGAATCAACCTACAAATGGTGTTTGGTGGAGTAAATGAAGTGGACAGAGTTTCTACAGTCCAAATCAAACTTCGTCCAACTATATACCTATTCTGTCTTTCTATGACTTTGACTATGATAATAATCTTTTTTAATGTTGTGAACTTAGAAACGTGAAATTTCTAAATGTAAAAAGGCTCAATCATTGTTATATAGAATATACTAAAATGCGAAAAGAGCACAAAGAATAACAGAGTCCTCTGACCCTAATGAAAACTAATTAATTCATTTTCGTAATGTTAAAAGGGCCAAACACTGTCCATCACCAGTCCCAACCAACCAACAAGCAAGTAATATATTATATTTATCCTACTCATCCGAAAAAAGCAATGCCAGCGCCTTATTTGGAATCTGGTTTCGCCATTAATGAAACCCAAGTTTTCCGTTGAAAACAAAGCATGAGCGTTTAAAATTGATAAAGTACACCGCCATTAATGAATCAGCAAAATGTGTTTATATTATATTATCAGTCCTGTCGGCGCCAACCATCGTCCACGACAAGGTTTCCGATTGTTAAAGAGAACCAGTGGCCTCAACTAAACCTAGAGACCAACATTCAGACATAACGATTACCAATTTATAATTCTACAAATAAATTTCATAACCTCCCATCTTGGGGAAAATTAACTGGTTAGGCGTCCTTCCTCAGGAGATAATCTCGAATTCAATAGTCTAAAAAAGATAAATAATCATGACTCCATAACCAAATCCGTCGAATATGGAGTTGAAAGTTGAATTGCAGCAGATTATTTGACATTGAGAGAGAGAGAGAGAGAGATGCAAACTGACCTCAAATGGAGTAACAATGACGAGAGCCTCCAAAACCCCGGCACCGAATCCAGAAACCAGACGAGCGTGATTGCTAAGCTTTCCAGTCTCCGAATCCTTAAACGCGGACTGAAGCACTGCATTGGACCCCATGCGAAGCGCATATTTCAAGGTCAGGTGAGTAGCGAACGGAGTCAATCCCTTCCAAAGAGCCCAAACTCCTTCCGTTTGCGTAACCGTGGCTCCACAGTGGACAATCCCCTTGTAAGCCCCGGTCCGATCGAGCTGCAACCTAGTCTTGATAACATCAATCGGCTGTAGACAACAGGCCTCCATCACCCCTCCGAGAGAACCAGAGATCGCCTTCATGTATGGAGGAATCGATTTCTTCGATCTCTGTTCCGTAGTCGACCGACGAGCTTCCTGGTTCTCCATTTTCTCGGTCTTGAAACCCAGAATCGTTGTTCTTTGCTCGTCCACCTTCCTCTCGTTGTGTTGTTACTGAAGTTCGACCACCATTTGGGTCTTTTATGCTTGATGCTTTGCTTAAGCTCTCGGTGAATACAGCACCACGAATGAGGAATTGATGAAGCTTGTAGTTACGACGCTAATGGCGCCAGGGAAAACGTTGCTTGTTCTTTTATTACAGGTTGTCCACGTGATTCAACATTAGACATCAAATCAGAAGAATTTGGTTCCATTCAAATTTAGAATAATAAAATATGCGAAGGGGGAAATTATAATTTAAAAAAAAACAAATAATAACTATTTATTTCTATAATTTTTTTTTAATGTTTATTAACTTTTTTGTAATATTTTTAAAGTCTATGTGACCTGTCCACTATCGGAGATAATTTGAAATTAGCTATTAATACCAATTATTAAAATCTAGGGTAAAATATTTATATAGTATAAACGTGAAGGGTAAAAGGGTACGTAAATAATCTCCCCTGGTAGCCCTTTCATATATAGTAAGATCATAATTCTGTTAATATACCACTATTAAATTTGAGGGTAAAATAGGTATTATATTAAAATGTGAAGGATAAAATGGGTACGTAAAGAGTTCATTTTTATTAAAAATATTCAGTTTAATTAAAAAAACGAAAAAAATTTCGTTGTCGAGAATCGAACCTGGGTATCCTAACCGCCCTGACGAAAGGATAAAATGGAGTGAAAATTTCGTTGCCAAGAATCAAACCTGGGTATCCTAGTTGCTCTGGCGAAAGGATAAAATGGAGTGAAAGCGAGATATCCTAATTTATATCTGTTTTAATTCATCCAAAACAAACCCAAACCTTTTGGATTCAATCCAAAAGGCTAGACTCTGGGATCAACCAGACGGCCCAATATGGAGTCCAGACGGCAAAATACTTGGGCCAGCCCATTTTAAATAACAGCAAAACTAGATGAATAACCGTGAATTTGTTGTGACATGCGCTAATTCTCGATTCTCATTGGTCAGCTTTCGTGGTATGATTTTGAGCTGCCACGTAAGCATATTTACTGATTCGCTAAAAATCGAAGGCTCCGGATTTTTCTATTTCTTTCTGATCGAGGAAGAACCTATATCATTTCTCACCCGTCGCTTCGTCTCTCCCTCCATTTTACCATCTCCCAATTACCAAATTCCAGTTTACGAAATCATCAGTTGCAGAAACTCGGCTGGATCTGAACATGGAGATTTGTCTTTCGCCATTCATTCTCATTATGGCGTCTTTGTTCCTTTTCCTGTTGTCGGAGGCCAAAACCATGGACCCTTATAAGGTAACGAAGATTGTTCGGAGTTTTTCTCTCATTGATACATTTTGCCATTTTTTGTTTATCGTCATTTTATTATGTTGATGTTCGGCTTGATTTCCTCCTAATTGTTTATAACTTGAGAAATTTACATGCGTTTTGTTACGGAGTATGGAAGTTTGTGGTGGTGTTATAGAATGGCTCATCATCGTTGCGTTTTCTGAAATTGTTTTCAGGTTCTTGGAGTTGAGAGGAATGCGAGTCAGCGGGAAATTCAGAAAGCTTTCCACAAGTATTTAACTTCCCTCCAAAATTTATGTTCTTGTTCCATTTGATTCAACTTCTTTTGGTTGTGTAGCTCATGGTGGAATTTATTAATCATTGGCAGGCTTTCTCTTCAGTATCATCCAGATAAGAATAAGAAAAAAAGCGCACAACATAAGTTTGAAGAAATCAATAACGGTATGTTACTTGCTTCGATCAACCATTGTATCTTTTCGCCAGGGCTTTTCTACTGCAGTTAATCTCTTTTCCCTGTCATTTCGATTTGTGGGATGAGTTTTGGTTGAATAGGGTGTACTTAATTTGAGTCATGAAGTTCAACATTGGAGAAGAAAAATAATGCTGCCCTGAATTGATATCATGTTAAAGTACTACTAAACCAACATGTCTAAATATGCCTAGTTTTCCACCACAATTGACCTTACTTCTCCATTCTTCAGCATATGAAATTTTATCAGATGAAGAGAAGAGAAAAAATTTTGATTTGTATGGCGATGAAAAAGGTAGCCCTGGCTTTGGCCCTGGCTATTCAGGGGATCAAGGTGGTGGACATACATTCTTTACAAACGAAGGAAGAAGACAGGATCAGCAGAACTTCAAGCCACAGTGGCAGGGTACTGGTGGACAAGGAGGTTCACAGTCTTTCTCATTTTCCTTTGGTGGACCGAGTGGTGGTTCAAATCCCTTCGGCTTTGGTATGGAGGATATATTTTCCAATTTTTTTGGAGGAGGCTTTAAGGATGAGGGTAATTTTGGTAGCCACTTTAAGGCCCAATCTGGATCTAAGAGTTCCTCAATCATCAAGGTCGTTAATAAACAAGTGTTTAAGCAAGAAGTTGTGGGCCAGGGAGTAACTTGGCTTCTGTTTCCCATCACGTCATCTCTGAAGGGAGTTGATCATGTTCAATCAATTATAGAGGATGTTGCCAGTTCGTTGCAGGGAGCTTTAAAGGTGCTATTAAGTAATCATATTTCTAAATTAAATAGTTATGGCGATTTTTCACAGTTCTCATCTTCTGTTTGACCTTTCAATTCAGGCTGGAAGGATAGATTGTGAATCAGAATCCTCTCTCTGCAAAGACCTTGGCATTTATCCTCATCGGACTCCTAGAATATTTGTCTATTCATACATAAAAAGCACCGATGGTTCTTTGGTAGAGTACAGTGGGGACGTTGCTGTGAAGAATTTGAGAAGTTTTTGTCAAGAGCATCTTCCAAGGTTCTCACGACGGGTCGATTTGAGGCAATTTGACTTCTCTTCCAACAATGGAGGAAGATTACCCACTTTAATGCTTCTGTCAACCAAAAAGGATACACCTGTTATCTGGCGGGTCCTTAGTGGGATGTATAACAAGCAGTTCCGTTTCTATGATGCAGAGGTATATTATTACTGAGCTTGCTTGATTATCTCATTCTTGTATGAGGCTATCAGTATCCGTTGCATAATTAGGTGGGTTATCTCTGTGGAGGTTCATCATTTTCATACTCTGATAGCAGATTTCTTTTTATTTTATTGCATAGGTCACGGATGTTTCAGATCCTACAATAAAGAAGTTAGGAGTCGATGCCCTTCCAGCTATAGTGGGTTGGCTATCAAATGGGGAGAGGCACATTCTTAGAACAGGGATCAATGTGAAAGATTTGAGATCTGCCATTGATGATCTCAGTTATTTACTTAATGGTTTCGAGAAAAAGAACAGGAAGGCAGCGTCAAAGCCAGCCTCTAAAACACAATCTGATTCTGCACAGAATCAGATCCCTCTATTGACAGAGTCCAACTTTGATTCTATCTGTGGGAAGAACACTCCTGTTTGTGTTATTGGTGCCTTCAAATCTTCTAAAGCAAGGAATAAATTGGAAATGATCCTAAACATGGTGAGAGCACTCGCATTTACGTTTTGTCTCAAGCCGCTGCACTTTGGCTTGTTGATTGCTGCTATGCTATACCTTACATTTTCTGTCCCTCTTGATTTAATGTTTCAGGTGTCTCAGAAGACATTGTCAAGGCGTCAGATCTCTGCGCCTGGCTCTAAGGAGTCCATATCCTATTCTCTTGTAGATGCAGCAAAGCAACCATCGTTTCTTAAAGCATTTGACAGTGCTGGATTTAAACCATCTGATCAAATACTGATCGCATACAAACGTCGAAAGGAGAAATTTGCAGCACATTTGGGTGAAATGACAGAAGAAGAGGTAGAAAAATTTATCGGCTCAGTACTTAATGGGGACATTACATTCACCAAGACCCGCCAGAAACCTGTCTTGAAGTGAAGGTCTGCCATCAACAAATGTACTCAATTCTTGCGGTCTTATGTACATTTTATGAATATAGTTAGAATGAAGTAAAAGAAAAAAGAGTATATAGCTATTGAGGGTGCCTACATCAATGTTTGCCACCTGCATTTGTGGGCAGAAAATCTTTTGTGTTAAAAAAAAAAAAAAACATTAACCCCCGAGTAAATAATATAATTTAATATTTCTTGTATTTGGGCTCTATTATTTGTTATAGACTCTTACACCTTGGAGAATGGGCCAACTTGTTTTTGGGCTTTAGTTGACTGGAGCTGGGTAATTCTAAAGCACGCAAGGCCCATGGGCCAAGAATTTTCCTGAAGATTCCAAAGCCCAAATTTGATGTTCGTTTGGATTATGTGGCCTCGCATGAGAAAGAGGAATATCACATGCTCGTCACGGGACGCCCATCTCACTTCCTTCCGTTGGTATTTGAAAAATATAAATATGCTCAACTGCCTTTTGTCCTTTTCGATTTCGACCTCTTTCCCATGTACAGATCACTTGCAAAACTACTTTAAAAGTTTTCGGTGTTCACACTTTCTATAATTTATTAACTAAATACAAAACCAGTACAAAAATATTAAGTTCTAATTTCATTTATTATTTTTCTTTTCGAAAATTAGGAAAAAAAAAACAAAAGCAAATCTCTACTCCTAATATTGTTGATTGCAGGAGAAAAAAGATTCTAACTTAGTGAGAGCATTTAATTTGCATTTTTAAAATACAATTCAAAAGTCTTAGAAGATAAGAAAGAAATGGTAAGTGATGGAATATTCCTTTTTTTTTTTTTTTTAATTTAATTTTTTGGTATTAGAAAGTGGAAATACCAGATTCAATAAAAGCTGTCTAACTGAGCGCCTGAAAAGATGCCACCGTTTTTTCTTCCTTTTTCCATAAGAGAGAAAATAAAATCAAAATTAAAATTAAAAAATTTGGAACTTTTTAGCGGGTGACAGTGGCGCAGCTGGTTCATGAGACGTGGCAAGCATGGCCGTACAAGGCAGAAGCAAAGCGAGTCAAATACCAGGTTACCCAAAACCGCCCAACTCCTGAAATAAAAGGGGCTTTCCAGTTGGCAATTACCACTCTCAAACCCGCCATTTTGTTTCTGTCTTTTCCCCTGGTTTTCAGTTTTCATTTATTTTGCTATTTAATCATTTTAAAACAAATTTATTTTTTATTTTTTATTTTTAATTACCCACCTCACATCCTCATAACGTGAATTATACAGTTGGACCCTGGCCGTGTTGTTTCACGCTGATGTGGTATATTTATATTTCTCTTAATTTCACTCTTTTTTTCTTTAAATAATACATGGATTAAAAATTTGACAACTTCATATTTTAATTGAAAATAAATGTGTTAATTAATTTAATTCGGCAAGAGTTAACTTGATATATCAAAAAAAAAAGTTAATTTGAGTCCACTTTATATGCCAAGTGGGTGTTAGTGCGGTATTAGGATTTTATATAATATAAAAGCTACCTTTACAAGTTGTGCTTAAAGGTGAGCCCCACCATAATAAACAAAAGTTAGTTCTAACATTTGCCGATTTTAAATATTTTCTGACGTGTCAATTTTTTCATTTTGTATTTTAAATCAATTTCATGAAACATAAGAGAAACTTAAAAGGGACATTTCTAGAGTCATGAATCGAACTGGTTTTGAATATTCTTAAATGGTTGGAATTTTAGGAAATAGGAATATTTTAAAAGTCAAGAAAACGACATAAGATACCGATTCTATTATATTCCGTTCCATTACATGTTTAATATTTTTTATTAAAAACAAAATTCCAATTTTATGTAGCATTCTATATGTTGTTTTAAAATTAATAAATAAAAATAAAAATAGAAATAGAGCGACCTCCCGTGTGTGGAAAAAAAAGTTAGTAAACAAGGAAGGGAGGGAGAAATTGATTTTCTCGTCAAACTCCGATCACAATAATTACGGATTCTAGCCCACGAGAATCCACAGACATCAGCGCACTCCAAAAATAACCTTTTTCAAAACCGTTTTTGTTTTGCTCTCTCTCTCTCTTTTTTTTTTTTTTTTTTTTTTTTTTTTTTTTTTAAGAAAAATGAAAAAATGGCTTCCTCTTACCACTCCCACTGCAACTCCCACGCCATTACCGCCACTTCATCCCTTTATATATAAACCCTCTTCATTTCCTCTCCATTTCATCGTTCTAAACCACCGTTCTCCAATTTCCAGATTTCATATTTCGCTCAAATCTCATCCATTCCTCAATCAATGGACACCAAAATCGGATCGCTCGATGCTTGCAAACCCGCCAACAATGCCGTCTGTTGCCCATCCAACGGCTCTGTTTGCACCATCCAAAATTCCGTCCCCTCCACCGTCGTCACCTCGTCGGAGGCTACACTTGGCCGCCACCTGGCGCGGCGCCTGGTCCAAATCGGTATCACCGATGTGTTCTCCGTTCCCGGCGATTTTAACCTGACGCTTCTCGACCATTTAATCGCCGAGCCTGGGCTCAACAACATCGGCTGCTGTAACGAGCTTAATGCTGGATATGCCGCTGATGGCTACGCCAGATCCCGCGGCGTCGGTGCGTGTGTCGTCACGTTCACCGTCGGTGGTCTTAGCGTTCTGAATGCCATCGCCGGCGCCTACAGTGAGAACTTGCCACTCATTTGCATCGTCGGTGGCCCTAACTCCAATGACTATGGAACTAACAGAATCCTTCATCACACTATCGGCCTCCCTGATTTCAGCCAAGAGCTCCGATGCTTTCAAACCGTCACATGCTTTCAGGTACTACACAAGATCTTATTGCATGTCTTTCCTTTTTGGTTCTAGATTTTTGTTGATTAATGAGGCGATTTCTTGTTTTTATTTAGGCTGTTGTGAATAATCTTGAAGATGCTCATGAGTTGATTGATACAGCCATTTCTACTGCCTTGAAAGAAAGCAAGCCTGTTTATATAAGTATTGGTTGTAATTTGCCTGGGATTCCTCACCCCACCTTCAGCCGTGATCCAGTTCCCTTTTCGCTTTCTCCCAAGTAAGTTCTGTTCAAGAATAAATGCATAAATTGTTCTGTAATTTATTAGACGCTATTAGACGCACATTCACATCAGATAATTAAATTTCCTGGGAAGTTTGGGGCCTAAGTTTATAATGGCATGTTAAAGAGGAACTTAGCTTTGAAATTATTGAATGGATTTCTGTGATGGGAACAGAGTGAGCAATCCACATGGGCTAGAGGCGGCAGTGGAGGCGGCGGCACAATTCTTGAACAAGGCCGTGAAGCCGGTGCTTGTTGGTGGGCCTAAATTGCGAGTTGCCAAGGGCTGTGATGCTTTTGTGGAGCTCGCTGATGCTTGTGGCTACGCCTTGTCTGTGATGCCATCAGCGAAAGGGCTTGTCCCCGAGCACCATCCTCATTTCATTGGAACTTACTGGGGCGCTGTCAGTACCTCCTTCTGTGCCGAGATTGTGGAGTCTGCTGATTCATACTTGTTTGCCGGACCCATTTTCAATGACTACAGCTCTGTTGGGTACTCTCTTTTACTCAAAAGGGAGAAGGCCATTATTGTGCAGCCCGATCGGGTGACCATCGGCAACGGACCCACATTTGGTTGTGTTCTAATGAAAGATTTCCTTCAAGCACTTTCAAAACGTGTTAACAAAAACACCACGGCATATGAAAACTACCATAGAATCTTTGTTCCTGAAGGCCATCCTTTGAAATCAGAACCCAAAGAAGCGTTGAGAGTCAATATTTTATTCCAACACATTCAGAAGATGCTCAGTGGTCAAACGGCTGTGATTGCTGAGACGGGGGACTCTTGGTTTAATTGCCAGAAACTTAAATTGCCAAAGGGATGCGGGTAAGCCATTGTTTGCCAAATTTACAATGATATCAACCGTTATGTTCAGATCCTAAAAAAGGTTATTCATTTTCCTATTTTTGTTTGTTTGTTTGCAGATATGAGTTCCAAATGCAGTATGGTTCTATTGGTTGGTCAGTTGGCGCCACTCTTGGATATGCACAGGCTGTACCAGAGAAGAGAGTAATTGCCTGTATTGGTGATGGAAGCTTCCAGGTAAAAATTGGTTAGATCAAACATTTCGAGTACGACTTTTGGTTGTTAATCGGTACTGCTTCACATCACAGGTGACTGCACAAGACATATCGACAATGATCCGTTGCGGACAGAAAACCATCATATTCTTGATAAACAATGGCGGTTACACGATTGAAGTCGAGATCCACGACGGGCCTTACAATGTGATCAAGAACTGGAACTACACGGCATTGGTCGATGCAATCCACAATGGGGAGGGGAAGTGTTGGACGACAAAGGTAAGTTGGTATCGAACTCTTTGGTTTGAGATCTGCGGGGGAGGAATAGGAGGAATCCTGTGTTTTATGAACGATTCGGTGTTGCAGGTTCGATGCGAGGAAGAGCTTATTGAGGCCATTGGAACAGCCACAGGAGACAAGGAGGACAGCTTGTGTTTCATTGAGGTAATCGCTCACAAGGATGATACTAGCAAAGAGCTATTGGAATGGGGCTCTAGAGTCTCTGCTGCCAACAGCCGCCCTCCCAATCCTCAGTAAACAAACTAAAAAAAAGAAAAAGATAATAATAAAACTTCTTCAACTTTGCAGCAATTTGCTTCCTCGTTATTGTGTCGTCTTCAGCGGAAAAAAAAAGCGTTTGATTTGAGATTGTATTAGAAAAAGAAAAAAACAAGTATTTTGTTGTGTAAATTCCTTCGAACATTTTCTTATCCAGAGCAATATCTTCCGAGCTCTATGTTCTCTATTAATCTTTTCTTGGATTCCCTCTTGAGCACGTGCTCCTCACGTGATGTTTGGTTCGGTACAAGAATTAAAACACTCAATCTACGTTAAGACGCGACTGCAGAACACATAAAATAATATTAATAATAATACTTAATTGAAAACAATTAAAAAAAACGACAGTTACATATGATGAAGGAAGAATTGACTAATTAAACAGTTTACAAAAGATTGATAAATATTTCATGTCTCAGGTTGCAGTTGTTCGTGGAGAAGCTGAAGTTTAAGGATTCGAAGAGCACGACAATCTGAGAGGAATGTTTGTCTGGAGGCAAAGCTGACTGTTTTTCTCGTTTATATTAAAATGTCCCTTTCAACTTAAAATTAAAAAACTTAAGAGGACCAGTTTTCTTCGCTTTGATTTTCTTTATTTTAATTAAATGCTAATATTCAAAAATTAATGTCCCTTTGAACTTAAAATTAATATGGGTTCGCCATCCATTTCTCTCTTTTTAAATGCTAATTCAAAAAAAATTAGCAGCGAGACAACTCCCAAACTTGTGGTCAATGTGCCTGGTCGTCGAAGCAACTTCAAAATTTTCCCCGTACCAAATCATCATATACGGCTATCCATTCCAATGGCGAATCTGCTGCTGCTACTTTCATGCCTCTTTTTCATACCCATATGTTCGATATTACTTCCAATTTGAAACTAATATGGTGTTTGGACGATGCCCTGAGGATCAGCGGTCCCTGTGGCTCGAATTGAAGAATAATCTCACATACCAATCTGATTTGTCCGTGAAACTGGTTCAGTGGAATGAAAGTATCGATTACTGTAATTGGAAGGGTGTTACCTGTGATGACGCCTGTGTTATCGGTCTTGATTTTAGCAATTCAAGATTATTTGGAGAATTCCCTCGAAGAATATTCCAGGTATCAACGAATTCCCTCGAAGAATATTCCAGGTATCAACTCTTCAAACTCTGGACTTATCCCTGAATCTATTGCTGCAAGGTTCTCTTCCAGATTTCCAATTCAATGGATCCCTTCAAGTTCTTTCGCTTCGTGTCACAAATTTCTCCGGGTCACTTCCAGATTCTATTGGATATTTTAAAAACTTGACCAGATTAGACTTGACGAGTTGCAACTTTGGTGGGTCCATCCCAAATTCTATCGAAAAGCTTACACAACTCACATATATGGATCTTTCGAGCAACAGATTTGTTGGTCCAATCCCATCCTTATCCTTATTGAAGGATCTTACAGTTCTGAAGCTTGCTCGTAATGGGTTCAATGGTTCCATGCTTTCCACTGAATGGGAAGAGCTTTCCAATCTTGTTAACCTTGACCTGCGTAACAATTCTCTCACTGGAAATGTTCCTTTATCTCTGTTCCATCTTCCAGCAATCCACAAGATTCAACTCAGCTACAACCAATTTACTGGTAGTTTGAATGAGCTCGCCGACGTGTCCTCGTTCTTACTTAATACCCTTGATTTGGAGAGCAATCAGTTAGGGGGACCATTCCCGTCGTCGTTTTTTGAACTTCGAGGTCTTAAGATTCCCTCACTTTCATTCAACAATTTTACAGGAAAATTGAATCTAGACATGTTCAAGCAGCTTAACAACATAACAAGTTCTTCCTTTCCTCAAATGACCACACTGAAGTTGGCTTCTTGTAACTTAAAAAAGTTCCCCGTTGTTAGGTTGAATGGCTCGATGACCTGACCTAAGGTCACGACCTCATGTATTTATAGATGTGTATAATGAATATTACATTCTAAATCATAGATTTTGTAACAAACCAGTAAATCATATATTTGGTAACAATCTAGTATACACAAATATGATCTACTCTACGTTTAACACCCGTCTTCTTGAAAGCCCAATGCTCAACTCTTCTTGATCTCTCTGATAATGAACTTCAAGGAAAAGAACCTCTTTGGATTTGGGTACTCAGAACTGTTTCTCAATTAAATCTTTCTTGCAACTCTCTAGCTGGTTTTGAAGGATCTCCAAACGATCTTTCTTCCCGTCTCTATCTTCTTGACCTTCATTCCAACGTATTTGAAGGGCCACTCTCGGTTTTCCCCCCATCTGCTTCCTATTTGGATTTCTCCAATAACAGTTTCAGTTCTGTTATTCCACCTGCGGTTGGAAACTACCTCGCGTCTACAGTTTTCTTGTCTCTGTCGAGAAATTCTTTTGAAGGAAGTATTCCGGAGTCCATATGCAATGCTACAAGTCTTCAAGTCCTGGATTTGTCTAGTAATAACTTGCGTGGCATGTTTCCCCAATGTCTAACTCAGAGGACTGATAATCTTGTGGTACTAAACCTTAGAGGAAACGCCTTGAATGGCTCCATTCCTAATACATTTCCAGTTACTTGCAGTCTGAGGACTCTTGATCTAAGTGGAAACAGCATTGAAGGGGAGTTACCGAAATCTTTATCCAATTGCCGTCATTTGGAGGTTTTGGACATTGGGAATAATCAGATACAAGACATCTTTCCATGCCCATTGAAGAACATATCCACTTTGCGGGTACTTGTTCTTCGCTCGAACAAATTTCATGGGAGGTTTGGATGTCAGGAGAGCAATGGCAGCTGGGAGAGCCTGCAAATTGTGGACATATCTCGAAACAACTTCAATGGCAGTATTTCTGGGAAGAGCATAGTAAAATGGAAAGCAATGGTGAATGAGGAAGATTATAGCAAGTCAAGAGCTATTCACCTTCGTTTTAGTTTCTTCAAATTCAGTTCTGTGAACTATCAAGACACAGTAACTATTACGAGCAAAGGTCTAGACGTGGAGCTCCAAAAAACTCTAACAGTCTACACATCCATCGACTTCTCCTGCAATTCCTTCGATGGGCAGATACCTATAGAAGTCGGGCAACTTAGAGCTCTTTA